TTTGTCTCTGAATTCATGCCTTGGAAATACACAGACTGAGCGGGCATCAAGGAGTCTCAGAAGCAAACTCAAAGATTAGCAGCATGGAGCTCAAAGCATTTAAAGCCAGGACCCCAAAATCCCTAGCCAGATCTTTTTGCCCTTGTAAATTTCAAAATTCCACCTTGCCCACAAAGAGGATGTTTGCAGTTGGACAGTAGTCATCTGGGTCTTGAGAGGATTTGTTTAGGAATGACCACATGCCCATGTCCACCTTCTTCAAAGTGGTTGGAGCTGCCCTATCTCTCAGCAAGGCAATTACCACTTCCCCAACACAGAACATCCCCAGATGTAACTGGTATGTAGCCACCAAGGAAGAAATACAAAATGTATAAGGTACCCCTGCCCATACGGGCCAGTCGTGTCCGACTCTAGGGTTGTGCGCCCATCTCACTTAAGAGGCCGGGGGCCAGACACTTCCGGGTCACATGGCCAGCATGACAAAGCTGCTCTAGCGAGCTGGCACCAGAGCAGCACACGGAAATGCCGTTTACCTTCCCACTATAAAGCGGTACCTATTTATCTACTTGCACTTTAGGGGTGCTTTCGAACTGCTAGGTGGGCAGGAGCTGGGACCGAGCAACGGGAGCTCACCCCGTCACGGGGATTTGAACCGCCAACCATGCGATCGGCAAGCCCTAGGCGCTGAGGATTTACCCACAGCGCCACCCGCGTCCCTACAAAATGTATACTGGATTACAAATAATGAAAATGTGCAGCTTTATTCTGTTTGTTCCTCAGGTGTCAGCAACTCTTTTAGAGTAAGATAAAATCCTGATCCATTTACATGTGCTTATTTTGTGCATGAATGGAGTTTTATTCCTTAATGTTTCAATATTTGCTAGCCAGAGATTTCGTAGTGACAAGTTTAGGCAATGTGCTGTTGGTATATGAGGAGTATTAAGGATGCATCTTCTCACTAAAAGTAAAATTTGTGCTCCTTCATCCAAGTGTAATGTTCTAGTTTGTTTTGATTTAAAGGAACCTCCTGCAAAAGGAGATTAGGGAGGCCAGCTGGAAAAATGTTTGAGATGGAAAGCTGGATCAGCACTAAGAGAGCCTAGAGGATTTAGTCAGGAGCTATGTGGTAAATATTAAGACAATACAAAAAGGAAAGGAAAATGGAGGTCTGTTGTATTTTAATTCAGTCATATTGTGTTGTTCATGTAGATCAGTGGGACTACAATTCCCATCATCCCTGACTACTGGTCCTGTTAGCTATGGATGATGGGAATTGTAGTCCAAAAACAGCTGGATGGCCAAGTTTGGCCACCACTGATGTAGATGCTCAAAGGTATAATGTAATACACTAACGTCTTAGCGATTGGGAAGTATGTTTCTCATGCTATTATCCTGATATCTTACATTAGAAATGGAAATTTGAAAGAAACATTGTTAATATGTTGGCAGTGGATAATAAATCATCAGTAGGCTTTTCCTGCATAAACAATAGTAGCTGAAAGATTGCATTCAAAAGTTAAGAGAAATAAATAAATGCATGGCATGGAGAAACTTAAAGTCAATTAAGTTGACACATGTGCACACGCTACCACTTCCTTTGTGAATCAATCTGTCATCCAGCAGTGGGCATCTCCTTTAAAACTGTTGAATGGGTGATATTGTTAATTGGGGGGGCACCAGGTGGCGCGTTGGAAGATGGCCGACAATAACATCTCTCTGACCCATACGAGGTACTAAGGGGCTACTATGGGAAGTATGTAGCCTTCCTGAACTCCTCCAGGATGTGGAGGAGAACTGCCCTGCCAGTGGTGTTCACAATGCACCCCCTGAAACGAGTGATGGGGGTGCCAAACACTTGGCAAAAGGCCCTCGGTGAAGTCAGACCTTCCTGACGCCGATTCCAATTAGCGCGTGCTGGTTGCTTCAGCTGGAATTATAATTGGAAACATATGATTGGAAACGAAGCTGAAAGCACATACATCAAGTAAAGCTCGAAGATAAGACTGCTGATTAATGGATCTCTGCGACCAGGAGTGACGGATGGATAAGTAAATCTTCTGATGAATCACCATAAGGAGACTGTATGTTTGGAACGAAGGGGGGTGGGTGGAGGAAAAAACTCTTTTTTTCTTTGCATGATGTGATATTAATAACCCTCCACCCCAGATATAAACAAGATCGTCGCGTTTCTATGAATCATAGGCAGGATTTTAAGAACTATGTGGGACGGAGTATAAGGAAAGAAGACTGCAGAACGGTGAGAAAGGAAGAAATTTTTATGACACAGTTAAAAAATGGTGTCTCGCCATGACAGGTTTACCGAGGAAGAAGGACTGGGGGAGGAGAATCGGGATTGTTTGAAAGAGAAGGAATGTTGGAATGTAAGTTTGACCTGACAGAACCCCAAGACTCATTTGTTATTTGGTAAGCCTGAGAAAAATAAAGGACAGATCGGAGATTAACTTTGTTTATGGAAGCGTTGTACAGAGGCTGTCCTGGATCGATATGATTTTTGGAAAAGTACAAAATCCACATAGAATGCCAGCTGTTACCCTGCTTGTGAAAATTATCAGAGATTGCAAAGAAAGGAATTTATGATAACAACAAGAAGAGAAAAGAAGTAACAAAGGACTTTCCGGATCAAACTGTCTAATTAATGCAGTAAGATAAGTGATGCTGTTTTGGACTCGAGCTGAGCTTGATGTATGGGTACCCTCAACAAAATTTAAAATTTGGCTGTATAATTTGGAATCAATGTGATAATGTGATGTGATTGGCCTGTTAATAATTTTTTTTTTTAAAAAAAGATATTGTTAATTGTGAGTTTTAAGTGTCTGAGCAGATACAGCTCCAGCAAGGAAGAAAAGTCAGGGCATGGAGAGAGAAACCAGAAGGGTTCTTTTCCTGATCATGATTACTGTAAAAAAAATAGTTGGAGGCAATTCTTTCAGGACCTTGGACAGAGCTTTTGGAACAGATAACTTGTTCTGAGAAGTGTTGTAGGCTTTGCTTCTCTCTCTCTCTCTCTCTCTCTCTCTCTCTCTCCTCTCCCTTTTCCTCTATTTCCCGAATTCCATTATACCAAAGCATCATATCCAGATTTCATATCCAGATTTCCAACATTTTAAATGCCTCTGAATTCTACAATTATCCCACCAAACAACAGCATCAAAACACACTAATATCTTGGGGGTGTTGTAGTATGAGGACTGTATCTTAAGGGACGTTTATCCATTACATTTCCTATGAAGAATTCATCTCTTTGCAGGAAAATTAGTGTTCAAAATAATAAATGAAGAATACATGCATGCCATTGTTGGATTTTCTCTCTGTGTGTGTAATATTCATTTGTTCCAGAAAAAGAGAAGAAGATTCAAGAAGAAGCAGAAAGCTGAGATTGTTTTGACTATGCAAGAACATTGTCCATGGGAACTGTTCTTTGTACATACGCAGTTGTACAGGAAGTTGATAACAATGTTCTGTTTAACTTGTTTGTTCTTCTTGCTTGTGACTTGCTGGAGAGAGAGAGAGAGAGAGAGAGAGAGAGAGAGTATACCTTTACCACAGCTGTGGTGAATGATTGTATATATTTGCTAAAGGTAAAGGTAAAGGTACCCCTGCCCGTACGGGCCAGTCGTGTCTGACTCTAGGGTTGTGCGCCCATCTCACTTAAGAGGCCAGGAGCCAGCACTGTCCGGAGACACTTCCTGGTCACATGGCCAGTGTGACGAAGCTGCTCTGGCGAGCCAGCACCAGCGCAACACACGGAAACGCCGTTTACCTTCCCGCTAGAAAGCGGTACCTATTTATCTACTTGCACTTTAGGGGTGCTTTCGAACTGCTAGGTGGGCAGGAGCTGGGACCGCAGACGGGAGCTCACCCCACCGCGGGGATTCGAACCGCCGACCATGTGGTCGGCAAGCCCTAGGCACTGATGATTTACCCACAGCGCCACCCGCGTCCCCATATATTTGCTACCAGTATGCTTTTTTAAACCTGTCAAGTAAATTCTACACTTGACTGAAGTCTTATGGTGTCCATGAGTGTTTATTGCCTTCTGTGTGTAACCTCATCACCGAAGATGCTTCCTTGTGATAAGGGTTTGCACTAAATCATTCTCTGCTCCGCAGATGCCAGTACACATGTGCAGCAAAAGTGTTGCCGGACCATGTCTTTTACGGATCATCCATTGGTTTTATGGCCTTGATTCTTCCACCATTTTGTTACAGATACAGTGGAACCTTGGTTGTAGAACGTAATCTGTTCCAGAAGACCGTTCGACTTCCGAAACATTTGACAACTGAGGCACAAGGGGCAGTCGGCAAGTTCAGTGGGGAAAATGGAGAAATGCACCTTGGGAGCCGTTCAACTTTTGAGGTGCATTCGAAAACAGAAACATTCAGCTTCCGAGATGCTCAAAAACCAAGGTTCCACTGTATGCATGTGAGGAAGACACATTGCACATCTGTTTTTAACATGGAGTACATGTTGCTTTATTCCTACGTGGAGATGCTCATTGTATATAAAGAATATTCTATAGCTGGATATAGCTGAATATTATATGGTTTTCCCAGTAGTGATGTATGGAAGTGAGAGCTGTACCATAAAGAAGCCTGATCACCAAAGAATTGATGCTTTTGAATTATGGTGCTGGAGGAGACTCTTGAGAGTCCCATGGACTGCAAGAAGATCAAACCTCTCCATTCTTAAGGAAATCAGCCCTGAGTGCTCACTGGAAGAACAGATCCTGAAGCTGAGACTCCAATATTTTGGCCACCTCATGAGAAGACTCCCTGGAAAAGACCCTGATGTTGGGAAAGATGGAGGGCACAAGGAGAAGGGGACGACAGAGGATGAGATGGTTGGATAGTGTTCTCGAAGCTATCAGCATGAATTTGACTAAACTGTGGGAGGCAGTGGAAGACAGAAGTGCCTGGCATGCTCTGGTCCATGGGGTCACGAAGAGTCAGACACGACTAAACAACTAAACAACAAGATATAGCTGGATAGCTCAGTGGGTTAGAGTGTGGTGCTGATAACGCCAAGATTGCACATTTGATCCCTGCATATTCCTGTAATGCAGGCGGGTTGAACTTGGTGAACCTCAGGGTACCTTCAAACTCTATGATTCTGTAAACAGCAGCATTTATTGTGAAGAGAAAAGCTTATATCCAAAGACTGCCATACAGACAGAGTAGATCCAAACCAACAAGTTCAAATGAAAGAAGAGGGATTTAGACTAAACATTCAGATGAACTTCCTGGTGGTACAAGCTGTTTAACAATGGAACAGAGTGCCTTGGCAGATGATAGACTCATTACAGGTTTTGAATCAGAGGCTGGATGGCCTTCTAATAATGAAATGATGCTTTAGAGGCTGATTTCTTACATCTTCAGGGGATTGGACGAGAAGACTTTGGAGGTCCCTTACCATTCATTTGATGATAAGGCTTCTGTCAGTGGAACAGGGAGGAAAGGAAAGTTAAAGTAATGGATAGCTGTCCTCCCTTTCCCTCTAAAAAATATCCTACAAAGAGTTCACCTGAATACAAAAATGAAGTTCATATTATATACTCTTGTAATTTTATCTATGTTGATCACATTTTTATATATTTATATTGTATTAAAGTTATAATTTGTCTCTTACAATATTTGGAAGCATTTTACTTTGTTGTCTTCAATTCCCACCCAACTTAGTTTTTGAGAACAGACTGAAATGGACCATGAACAACATTACTGCGTCCGAAAAGCATGTCCATCCATGCATATTTATATGCACTTTCATTTATGTCTATTATACAATTAGCTGAAGAAGGGTTACTTGGAGGAGCAGGGAAAGTTGAAGCTAACTTGTAGATTTCATTATGTCTTTGGGAAATAACTGATTGTTTCAAACTCGGGACAAAATTCCCAGCCTTAACTTCATCTTGATTTATACCGCTTGAGCAAAGGGACCCACCATTCTAAATGGAAAATATTATGGCTTCAGTACTCCTCTTAAATCAGTGTAAAAGGTGATGAATTGGTAGAAAATGTTTCACCTGGAGTTGGTAGCATGCAGCTGTGCAGTGGTGTAAAAGAAGCGAGACCAAAAGTATATTTATGGAGCACATATTTTCATTATTATTAATAATGAAAATATGAGAACATAACTTTGGTTATATATTTTGTTATATATTTTCAGGCTGTGATTCCCATGTAAGGTATATGGCCTTAATACATATAGCTGGCAAGTTCTGATAAGCCATCATCTCTCCCCCCTCCCCAATATGTTTCTAGATAATACTAATTCTCCATCCAAGCAGAAAGAACTATAAATTTGGTTTGCAGCTCAGAGTTATTGCTGCCTGTACATAAATACAGCAAGAACAGAGGTCTATATTATATTCATTCCTCAGTGATAGTGTGGTTTGTGTGAAGATAAAATGTTCAACTCTACATAGGTGTAGCATTCATCTGTTTTGAATGCTAGTATTCCTGGCTTCCTATGGCACTGCTATCTATTTTGTAATTGCTGTGCGTGTGTGTGTGTGTGTGTGTGTGTGTGTAGGTGCACACGCAATCATGCAAAAATAAACCTTGGCACTTAAATTAATGCTAATTGGAAAGAGGTAACATACTGAATATACTCTTATTTTAATCTCACCCTTCCTAAATTTGAGGTGGCTAGCAACACATACAAGGGCAATCTCAAAAGTTTATTGACAGTGAGCACAAATGCGAAGCAGGTGGAAGGAACATCTTCTGCAATTTAACATATAGGTTTGGAGCCACACTTTTATGAAATCCTTTCAATCATTGAGAATTGAGTTAGTGAATATGGATCTATCTCTAAGAATGGCAGGTGCAGGAATCAAAATTGGTGGAGTCCACCAGTTTGGTGCAGTCACCAGCAAGCTGCCAACACACACACACACACACACACACACACACACACACACACATTCGTTTCATAGAAAGTCCACTGAGTAGCAGCTGGGAGGAGCCAGGGCTGAAGATAACTCCATTAGCTGGGAGAAGAGCAGCTCTGCCGCCTTCAGTCAATTTGACCACACCAGTTATCAGTCAACATAGCCTGCTTTGGATTGTTTCACAGGGAGGGTCAGCAGTGGATGGACATTCCATCTGGTGGGCTGCCCGTGGGTGGGTTTTCCAGTCTAGGTCCCCATTCCCTGGAAGTGGGAAATAGCTCTGTGTCCTAACCCAATTCAGCCTGGTAGATCCAGAGCTTGGATTGAGAAGTAAGTTCTGAAGCCAACTCATTTCATTGTGTGTGTTTGTGTGTGATTATACTGCCAACCTAGTAGTTCGAAAGCACACCAGTGCAAGTAGATAAATAGGCACCGCTGCGGCGGGAAGGTAAATGGTGTTTCCATGCACTCTGGCTTTCGTCATGGGGTTCCATTGCACCAGAAGTGGTTTAATCATGCTGGCCACATGACCCAGAAAGCTGTCTGTGGACAAAAGCTGGCTCCCTCGGCCTGAATCGAGATGAGCATGACACCCCATAGTCACCTTTGACTGGACTTAACTGTCCAGGGGTCCTTGGCCTTAACATTTTACCTATACTGTATATATGCAGTTTCACTTTTGAGCCAAACAAGCACTAATAGTGGGGTGGAAATATGTCCCAAATTACCCATGATGTAAATATTTCGTTTTTCTACACTTTTTGATATTGCTCTTGCCTTAGTTTCTGCTACTTTCTCTCAGTCACCAACCTGCTAGTTGCTGCTTCTTTTTATTACTTGAATTAAGTCACACAGGAGGTCGCAATCAAACAGGAATTGTGTAGTGAGTGGAATGACATTAAACATCTTATCAGTAATGCCACTGAGGGCAAATGAGGGCAAGTAAGGGCCATGCTTCTTGAATTGTTCTGGTAGACAATATCAGAAGGCAATGGGAACCATCTGGAGGGCTTTAGGTAGACTAACAAAAAGACACAATCCACACAGAAGCACTGATTGTAAGTTGGGGAGGAGAACCAGTCCAAGGATGACCATTTCCAAATCACCCAATAAAAATGGTGATATTTAATATTTGTATAGGGCTTGTATAGCCACCATAAAATATAAGAAACCAGCCTTTCCCCCTGCCGCAATATGAACATTTTCACCCATGCAAACACTTCAAAAAAAATTATAAGGTTAAACTTGTTTGCAATTGCTAACTTTAAACCCTGCTACTCTTGCGTCACTGTCCCCGGTTCCTTCTTGATCTGTCATTAGAAACAGCCGTGTAAGAAATTTACTCAGATTTCTGAGTGCATCTGAAGAAGGCTGTAAATAAGAAAAGAACAAGCTTTCTTTAAAAAATTGCTCGACTTCCTCATTTTCCATCTGTGAGAATTTATATCTCGAGACAACTCATTTAGCCACTCTGAAAAATTGCTCAGCAAACAAGTTGTTTTAAAAGTGACCCTTTGAACCATTAAATTCCTGTTCAATGAAGCCTAGAGATATTCTGAAGGGTATTAATACAGCATGTGCATTTATGTGTGAATTTATACATAATGGTTATTGTTGTTCTCTGTGGAAATGACATTTTAAATAAGTTCTTAGAGAGGGGGAAAATGTGTCGCATGCAGCTCTGTCATTTATTCTTTTCATCATTTACCTGCCCTCAGCAGTAATACCAGATAAACGATGGGCAGGAAATTTCAGCTCAACTTGGCCCGCAAATTCCAAAGGTAGAAGTGACCTTATTTCCTTATTTAATTGTTTATTGCATTTCCGAATCACCCAGAAGGGACGCATGGTTTGAAGAAATTAAAAACAGCAGCATAAATTCAAGCAAAGCAATCAAGTACAACAGTTGCCAAGCTACAGTCATAACGTTTTGTCTGGGGTGGGGAATAAAAAGGAAAAGGGAAACATTAAAGTCAGCACTGAGTCAGCAGCCCCTGCTTGTTAGCTTTGAATGGACTGTGTAATCCAAAAAGAGAAGTCAGAGCTCCATATATATAGCTCTTAAAATAAAATAAAAAGGGGAAATTATTAAGTTCCTGCTGATCAGATGGTAGGGAAAGGTCCACAGGGACACACCTTACAAGGAAGGTATTAGCCATGATTACTAGCTTCTACTTCCACTGCTTCTGAATGCCAATTGTTGGGAATCACAAGTGGGGAGACTGCTGTTGAGCTCAGCTTCTCCTGGCAGGCTTCTCATGGGTGTGGGATGTGATACATAAGTACCAGTCAAGTACAACATTCCTTGTTTTCCTAGAGTGGACAGGCGGGGGAATATTTGTTCCAGCCAGTCGAAAACTTCCTGTTTCCTCCTGCCTGGGACATACTTTCTGTGCATGTGACTAGAGGTGGGTGTGATCTTACCTGTCCAGGTAACAAAAAAGGACAAGGCATTCAACACTCCCTCTCTCTTTGACTTTCTCCATCGTTGGAGAAGCAGCTTTTAGCTAGAATTGCTCTATTGGCTCTCATCCAACAGAGGACACTGGGACTATCTCCATATGGGATAGATCTACATGTATATACTTTGTAACTAGTTTGCCTTCAGGGATACAACTGTGTACTGATTATGTGAGTAAACTTCTTTTATATACTTTACACAAGATTGTAGTGTGTTTATTCTTTTAAGATGGATATAAGGGAACTTACCAGGAATCTAATATTGAGAGGCTTAAACAAGCCTGCAAGCAGCTATCTGCTGTGTGTTTAAAAGGGGAATGTAAAACTCTGATAAGTTATAGAACTTGCTAACGCAAGTTGGGTAGGATATTAATAAACGATATATCCTGCCCTGCCTCCCTGAACATTCCCACAGTGGGCACCTGGTTGTTCACTGTGAGAACAGAATGGTGGACTAGAATGGCCTTGGGTCTGATCCAGCAGGCCCTTCTTATGGTATAATATCCTTATCCTTAAGAATTAACCAGTGGGACTTCAATAACTCAACAGGATAAGCATATGAACCCTATTCAGATATCCCTTTTTTAAAAATATTTTTTTATTAAGAATTTCAACATAACAATTTATCAAAAATACCTCCCCCCCATTTTTCCCTCCCCCCTCCCCCCCAAAGAAAAACCCACCCTCCCAGTGTGGTGTGGTGGTTAG